GGGAAGTAAAAAAAATAGATGAGCCTTCATACTCCCTTTAATGATGATGGGCTAAGAGGATTCTACATGCCAAAAACACACAACACATCTTTAGAGTAGTCTTCCCAACCAGCAAACTAGGCTAAACACAGTGGGATTTGTGTGGACAAAGCTACAAATGCTTAAATATCTACAGGTTGTCCTGTAGAAACAACAAAATGTAAATTTTGTCATGTCTGTCAAAAGAGGTGCAAGCACAGCCCTCCCTTAAGTCAACAGGGAAGACCACTCCATTGCTCAGTCTTTATCTTGGAACTTGGGAGCTCCCTGAAAATACTTCTAATGTCTCTTCTTCCACATTGCTGACATATGCCTATACAAAGGAAATGATTTTGACCTGCCCAATATGACTAATACTAAAACTAATTCAGAATTACAGAGATGACATCTGAACAGTCATCTGTTCAATTACATTTGAACAGTCTACTGAAGCTACTTGGGCTTTATTTTCTCTGAAGATATTGTTAAATGGTGTTTATGAGCACGCTAATGTCTCATGCATATGAGTGTACTTGCAGAGCTAGCCTAAGGGAGCCTGAGGAAAGCATAAAACTTTTGGTATTTTTCCTTTTTCATTTTAAATTCCGAAGCTAACATATAATTTGGAGGCAAAGGACAGCCACATGTATGCTGTTGAAGTAGTTTAAAATAGCCAAAAGCTTTCTTCTAGTTCTGGATAACATCCAGAAATTCAGAACTTGCTAAAAGCATCATTTCTTTCTGTTGCTCATATTAAATCCTGAGGCTGAAGGTGTTTGAAAGCACTTACTTAGCTGACCAAACATTTGGGCACTAACACAAGGAGCTATAAACAGACCTTGGGTTCTCGCCATCTGACTTACCCTCACGCAGCTGAACTCTCTCATAAGCTGGGAACTTTGTGCTCACAGATGCAATAGCTGTCAGGTCTTCACGACTCTTCCTCAGATTCTTCTTCACTCCAGATCGTTGGCCACGTGTTCTCCAGAAGTCTGCCCTGTCACTTGAGCCATCCTTCTGGGCATTCTGAACACTAGCCATCTGCTCAGCTCTGACAGAGAAAACACAAAGTTCGTTTGTACAGAGATACTCAAAAAGGGGCAGAAAGTCTCTCTCCAAAGTCCTATGAATTTGCAACAGATAATTGGATAGGAAGGTAGCCATGTGTGGAGAAAAGAGTAGAGAAATCCAAGTAATCCTTGAAAGAAAGTCAGCATGATGCCCTGACTCACCACAGCTGCAAGACTGATGGGCAGGAATCAGTCCAAGCCCTTAAATTGCTAATAAAAGCACAAATAAAACCCAGCTACACAAAGGTGGTGAGAGAGTGCAACTCAGAACGTAGGAACTAAGAACTTAGTCTTATCTTCCTTTCCATCAGGCTTCTTAAAGTAAGTTACTAATGCTTACAAAAAAAGACCTCTCAAGTCAAATCAGTACAAAAGAGAGGCCATAATGCACTAACTAGCACAGCACAGGTGGTAGGATGGGAGACTGGTAGGAAATCACTTCAGAAGCATATTTCAGGAACTTCTGTATGATGCAAATGAGAGTTTTTTTGTTTAATCACTTCAGTGTTTAAGCACTGAAGAACTTAAAAGCTACAGTCTAAAAATACCTTTATTAATTCTTTTTTGGCTGATGAATTTCAATATGCAGTCATTCAATCTGTTTACCATAAACTTACAGTAATACCTTACACTAACATTGACTAAAAGAGTATATCTAAGCAAAAAAAAAAAAAAAAAGTTTGTATTTACTCCAGATTTCACACAGAAATAAGGACTGAAGGCACCAAGAAATGTTATCTTTAAAAAAAAAAAAAAACTCTTAAAATATTTTCCCTAAGAGTATACATAAAAGTATACTCTTGGAAGTACTAGAAACTCTCTAAAACATTGATCATCAGAATATCCTTGTACAGTACAGTAGCGAAATTGTTCGATTTTTTAAAACTGTTTTCAGGAAATAAAGCCCATCCCATCCCATCTTATAGAAGAGGAACTGGAGCAGCTATTTGTCAAAGCTGAGCTGATAGCTAAACAAGGAGCTCTAGGTCTGTGTGTGCAACAGTGCACAGATAACACAATCTTTGTTCATCCACTCCTTACACAGCACCAGGTTTCTAAAATCTACAGTATTACAGGCATGATTGTTGTGAGAGTCACAAAGCACCCTCGAAACATGTTTTTCATTCCCATAAGGCGAAAAAAAAAAAAAAAAACAGAAGAAAATTTGTATAAGATAGGAAATAAAAACTACTCAGAAAAACAATAGTTTAGAAGATAGGAGGCCAACCTACCTGCTCTTATTTGGAATGAGACCTTTTTCCAGTTCATTTCCAATTCTCACTGCCAGCCAGTTTCCCAGTTTGCCATCATACAGTGTATCAACTACTCTGAAGATCTCCCCTCTGGTGAATGCTAAGCTCTGCGGTGACTCTTTTTCACACTCAAAGTGGCTCCTGATGAAGAATGAATCTCCTCTGCCACAGGCCATGATGTCTCTGTAGACTAAAAGAAGAACTGCTATTTAGTTTTTGTTGTTGTTGTTGTTTTGGTCTGTTTGTTTGAAACCATTTATCTGGATTGCAATGTACACAATGCTGAACCAAATTTTGCCCGCTTCAATTTTAGGCTTTCAGTATCTTCAGTACTTTACACTCGAAAGAAATAGGTCAAGCTGTCATTCCATCAAAATGTTTTGAAACCTTTCCCCTTCATTCAAAAGATTATTGTCAGTACAAGAATGTTCTATATTCATATGCATCAGCTCTTATAGCTGAGGCAGGCATGTGCTCTCACCCGGATGGCCAAAGCAAAAAGCAGCAATGGTAACTCAGTATAGATGCAGCAGGCTGCACCTGCAAACAAGGAAGCACAAGGCTTTGCTTGCTGCCTCAATGAAACTCTCCTATTGCCAGATACTATCTGACTGTGAATCCGCTATGACTGTCCAGGCACAGGAGAGAGGGGACACAAACATTAGATCTCATGCATCCAAAGGCTGAAGAGTGAGAAGCAGAGGTGATAAGCATTAGGATGCCACTCTTCAGGAATAAAGAGATGCTGCTTGCTGAATATGAAAATTGTGGTGAAGGGCTCTGATAGACACACTGCACGAGTACAACTCTGCATCTGTCTCCTTGTGAGACAGATTTTATAAGCTACTGAAAAAGAGGGCAATAAAGATGTTGTCATGAGAGATCATTTGTTGTTTCGCTGACAAAGCAGTGACATCTCCAAAGGCTTCATGAATACCTGCATATTTAGTTCAAAACACCCACCTTCGTATTTGCTCTGCGCCAGTATGGTCACTGTTTCACCTTTGGGAATTTCCAACAGGTACAAAACAGCATCTTCCCGAACGATGCCTCTGAAGTCTTGAGTGTTCACCTGATATACAAACAAATCAATGATAAAGGGAATATCCCAAGACTTTTCTGTTTCACTGAAAAAGCCTTAATATTTTCTTTTTTATTGGGCATTTTTTAAAAAGTCAAAATAGGTGTTTGTTGTAAAAAAAAAAAATTAATCCATCCATTAATAATATCTTTCTGGAAATGGGTGCTGACATATTATGTCCTCTAGGAGGGAGTAAGACATGCCTAAATGTGGTAAGAGACAAAGTATGAAAAGAACTATTTGAAACTATGAACATGATTATTTCAGCACTTAATGCAGTATTAGCACTGTAGTCCTACCTGCTCAACAGTGCCTGCTACCAAGTGTGTTGATGTCACCCTATTGTTTGTAAAATTCAATACTGTAAACCTGCTTCAGCATCACTGTTTCTCTCCAACACAACCAGCATAGTCAGGCCCTCAGTGATGTTCATCCCTCAACCTCCTGCCAATACCCATTGCCCCTTTCATTGGATAGAGAAGTGGCTGCCCCTCTTTGTCAGGCAAACCCAATCAAAAGTATCTCTGCTTCCATGTAGCAGGAACAGATGGAAAGAATTAGGTTCTGAACACCACCAAATTTTCCAAATCCCACTCAGAATGATAACAGGAGCAGGGACCAGGGGCTTGAACTAACCTGCACTGAAAATCAGCAGAAATACTTTAAATGACTTCTAAAGACCATAGAAATCAATACCATCACAAGAGAAAAAAATAAAGGAGAATAAAGTAAAATAGAATAAAATAAGAGAAAGTAAGATTTTATCAGTCCTATCTGAATTTTGAAAAAAAAAGGAGAATATAAGATGACAAAAAGGGCTAGCAAAAATAATTTGGGAAGCAGAAATACAAATCAGTTACCCACATAAATTCAAGAAAGGCTGAAGAAAAGAAAAATATGCTGGCCTCCCCTACTACCCTCAGCCCTCCATTGAGCAAGAGGAAGCACATTATAAGATCTTATTTCTGTATGATTCTCCCTGACATACATACACATACATACTTCAGAACCAATACCTTGACTTCCTAAGAACATATTTTCCCCCTAGTTCCACTAAGAAGCAAAAATAAAAAAAGTGGTTTGAACTTCAGGGACACGTTTATACTGGTACCTTAAGAATCTGGTCTCCTTCCTGCAATCCTTCCTCATCAGCTGAAGTGCCTTCCTGGATTCCAGCAATAAATATCCCCACGTCATTTCCACCAGCCAGTCGCAGACCTACACTGTCCCCTTTCTTGAATTTCACCATCTTCGTATTAGGACTTCCCAATTCATGTGCAGGAGAAGAAATTCAAGGCAAACATTAGGCACATGAGAGTGATAAGTCCTCAAAGCAAAAAGCCACAACCTTCTCAAAAAATTATCCCAATATTCTTTCTCTCAAGAGATGCATTATATTTCAATACTTCTGCAATATTTGCATTTTTTGAGAGGGGAAACTGAACTTGAAAGGCAGACTGAGTGAATAATAGCACGATGATGAATCCTGGTTCCCAAGGTCTTGAGACAATTTCCTGCATATTTACGGGTATTTTTGAAAGTAGCTGAGTTATAACTTATGTCACTTGTTTTTTTCATATACACTTGAAAACTACCACATACATTAAATTTGCACGTATTTTCTTTGCAATTGAATTAATATGTTTGTCAGAGCACAGGAAAAGCCTTCAGGTTTCTTGTAATGAGCAGTAGGTCCAAGAACACTCTACTGGTACAGTAACAATCACATCTTTCATATTTCAAGGAGGGACAGATTACTGGACTATGTTCAACTTTTTTCCTGCCAAAACCGCTGTATGTCTGAGTGACCTTCCAACACAGAGGATAGTACTTATCTGTCAGCCTTTACTCAGTAATACCATAAGCCTATATTATAAATTCTCCTTCACCAAAATAACCACTTGATTAATTTGTATTATCAGTGGCAACATATGCATGGTCCTACCCAGAGAAGGTTCGAGAATATAATCCAGTTGATAAAGAGAAAAAATAACATCAGTAAGATAGAAGCCATATAATCTCTTCTTGGCACTAAACTACGAAAGACATATCACTCATAACGGCCTAAAAAGAAATAAACCAGTGCAACTAAGTGCAAACCAGTGCAACGATGAGCAAGGTTTTGTTCACAGGTACTCACAGAGCACCGAGGACAGCAAAATTCTCCTTACCCATATATTGCTTCATCCTCAGGACTGGGCTTAAGAATCGTTCTTGCAGCCGGTTTTGGTTGAGACACTGTAGGTAAAGAAAGACATCAGGAGATACTGAAGTTATAGTTACTGTTTAAAAAAAAATACAATACAAAAAAAATGAAAAATATGAACTATAATTTTAGTTATCAGATGCTAATTAAACTCCTCCATGCCAAAGATAAAAGCAGATTTAAATGTCTGATTTAAATGTTAGCTTTTCTATGGCCAAAATTCAATTTACTATCCCTTCTTCGCTCTTAAAAAACAGATCCAATGGAGGAACAGACAACTCTTTCAAGCAACCCACCCAGACTGCAGAAAGAGCTTCACGTGGCTGTTTAGCTGAGCTACAGCAAGTCAGTTCTTGCTGTTCATGTTGAAGTTCTCGTAAGCAACAGCCTTCGGGCACTCTCAGGTGCCTTTCTGAGGCACAGAACAAAGACAGACCCATCTGTGCATCAGGGGTTAATAATGTGTAGGAGACACATGGACAAGGCTGGGAGGATATACTCTGTGAAAAATAACTCTTCAATAAGAGTTTCAACTCTGACCTGGTGCATCATCCTGGTATTTTGGTTCTTTGCTTATGTCTGCAACTGTGGCAGTGTTAGTAGTTATGTCACTGGTTGATTTAAATGGTGTAGGCATTGCTCCCATTCTCGACATCCTACTGGATGGATCATCTTTTGCACTGAAAGAAGAAAATGAGTTCAGTGAAATCAGAAAGGAATGGTGTATTTTAAGCTGTACTTGATAAGCAAAGGACTAGAAAAGAACGTTTCTTACCTTGGCTTTTCTTTTAGCTTTTCATTGGAAGAATGTGAGTCTAGATCAGAGTGATGTAATCTGTCATCTTGAGGGGAGAATGATCGGTTTGACTCTATTTCAGAAATATCTATAAAGAGAGTGAGAACAGAAGAAATGAGGAATTTGTTTGTATAACCAGCAGATCTAATCACCACATTAATTTACTGTGCTTTCACATATTTATATACAGAATCTTCAAACCTATTTCGCTTGGAAAGAAAAGTGTTGTCACACACACCACACCTTGGACTCTCACTAACTCTAACAGCCTTTTGGTTTAAGCTCTCACTGGAACTATCCAAAAAGAAAATGACTTCACACTAACAACTTTACATTATTGTTACAGTACTGGAGGGCCAATTTGCATTGAAATAATCATATGTATCAATCAGAGTATAGAACATGACAGGAAAAGCTAACAACTTCCCACTTGCAACCTCTCACCTTAAATCTAGTTAGTGTTCAATTACCTGGTGCATTAGTTCTTCAGGAAGAAAACAAACAAAAAACCAAAATAGCTCTCAGATTTAAATGTCTCAATCTTTAGAGCAAAACCAGCAAAAAGTTGCAAAAGTATTCTGAAATTAGAGAAACGGACATCTTGTACTGATTAACATAACATCCTGATTCCACAAACATCCTGCGTCCTTCCAAGAGCAAGATTTTATAGTGAGATACAGCTGATACCCTGTGAGAGTTCATTCGTATGAAACAGATACTGGAAATAGAAATAAGTTGTCTAGATGGACTTCATTTCCTCTTGTCCTGGCAATTCTCCCCTTCCCATTGAAAGCTGTAATGAATGCTAATGTCCTCAGAAGGAGAGGACAGTCTATTCCACTCTGTTTTGTAATTCAAGCTTCATATTAAAGCAACTGAGTTTCCTGTTATGAGAAGTAGGCCATTTTTGTCTGATCAACATTGCTTCTTCCATCTCCTCCTCCAAAAATTTTTAATTATATAATCACTGTAAAGTGGTGCAAAATTCTTCTTTCACTTAAAGGAAAAGAGCTTGCTTCTATTTTGACTATTGTTTAGGTTTGGATTTGTTTTGTTCTCTTTTCCTGCAGAGAACCTAACATGATTATACATAGCACAACGCTGCACGTTGTAAGTCCCATTTTGCCTTTTATGCACATTAAACCTCACCATCCATTTCTGAGTCACTGTCATTCAGGGAAGGAATGTTGAGCAGCGTCTGCTTCCTGTCCCTGAGGACAACCAGCTGGAGTTTCCCACGTGACTTCTCAATCAATTTTCGGGCATCAGCTAAAGACATGTTCTCAGTCACTGTACCATTGATCTGGACATATAAAAGCAGCAGTGTTACAAGCAAATAAACTGCACTCAATTTCAACAATTACTGCAGTGATAAGCACGGCATCTCAGATAAACCATTTTCCAAGGCACTTGCTATGCTGCTATCAGTTTAACCAGAACACACCTTGAGAATGATATCCCCTTCATGAAGGTTGCCATCTTTGGTTGCTAGCCCAGTATTGGTCATTTCTTTTATGAAGATCTGACTTCCAAGCCGCAGACCATATTCTGTGATTAGAAAAATAATCACTATAGCTTAGAAGAACAAGCTAAGATGCATTTTTAAAAACTATTCTCCATACATGTAGTACACCTCATATACTACTAGAGAAAAACAAAACAAAATGAACGAAAAAAGAAAACAGAGACCCACAAAACTCACTTAACAGGCTAAATTTCCCAATTCTATGCTGTCACAGTGGTAAGAACAAGCAGTGCTCTGAGAACAGTGGAGGACAGAATATTTGCCTGAGCTTGTAAATAGCCAAAAGGCCAAAGAACGTGTTCATCTAGATGTGCTTATTAAGGCACTGTCTTCTCATCATATTTTGTATGGTTGAGAACAGCATGGAGAAGGATGAAAAGGTGGAGGTTTTTTTCACCAGCTGCTCCATGCTAGTGCTATGCTCGTGTCTTATCTGTGTCTCAATAAGCACCTCAGTTGTTTCAGACAACAGGGGAAAAAAAGAAAAAAAAAAAAAAAAAAAGAAGTGGAATATTTGGATCAGCATCAATACTACTTAAAAAGAAAGGTAATATTGGTTTTCAAACAAGCATGGCCTAGAGTAGCTGGAAAAATGAAAGAAAATAAACACTGATACCAAAAATCGAACACTTCCAAAATCTCAGCCTTCGAGAGAGACTGCAGAAAACCCAGATGGATGGCAGAGGTTATTTTGGACTCACTAGCTACATATAAAACTTCTTAACAAAGCCATCTTTAATTTCTCTTTATTACTTTACAGTTATAAAGTAATCTGCATCATCTTAACAAACAGAAGCATTACATGTAGGAGAAGAAGAGGAAGAAAGAGATCCTTGCCAGGGTCAGGGAAAAGAGATTTTCTGAATTCAAAGTGGGGAGAAAATTCTCATGGATCAAAACAGAGTGCATTCAAAAATACAAGAAGGGGCAGACACATCCCAGTGTTGAATTCCCTTTGCAGCACAGCAGCATTTATTTCATGGTGCACTAAGGATCCCTCCTCTGGCCCCCGCCTGCACATACTCTCCAACAGTCAGCAAGGAGAGGCTGCCTCAGCTATTGTTTTATTGTTTTTTTTTTTTTTTAAATATTCCTTACCTATATCCGGAAGCGCTCAAAATCAAACAATACTTGGAATGGCTTCTTCCCTTCAGTATAACAAAATTAAACCCACTATAGAATCACTATCCTACAGAATCATGATCAGCTCTAGGTTTTCCACCAGAAACAGAAGGATAGGCAGGAAGAAATGGAGAGTTCAAGGACAGAGTAGCTCAAAAACAAGGAAATCCTGTAGATGAACAGAGTCCTTTGTTCAAACATAAGGCCAGGGTGCCATTTAGAAAGCACCCAAATGTGGCGAGGGGAAATAAATGAAGGACTTCAGTTAACCAGTTGGGTAACTGTAAAAGCAGCGCCCCTCCACGCTCCTACCAAAATCTGCTATACTAAAAACCAGTTCCTCCCCAGCTGTCACACCTACCTTCACTATGTTTGCCTTTTGTTAACAGAACACTGACGGGTCCCTCCTGATCCTGAGCTCCTAGGTACTCATGCTGGTGCCGCGTTTCCGGGGAAGGGCTTCGGGAATAGAGCCTGTCCCGGCTCCGGCTCCTTGCTTCCCTCCTGTACCTCGCGTCAGCGTGAGACCCGTGGCCGTAACGGGGCGGGCTGTAGTCCCCTCGGTAGCCCCGTTCGTAGCCGCCGTCCCTGTCGATGCTCCTGCCGCGGCTCCCATCCCGGCTGTAGCTGCGCTCCCTGCTGCGGTTGCGCCCCCGCTCCTCATCGGCCCTGTAGCTCTGGTCAAGGTTGTTTCCCCAGCTCTGGCTGCGCCCCCCGTTACCGCTGTGCCAGCTCCTGTCGCTGTAGCCGCTTCTGCCGTCGAACTCTGCGTGATCATCCATGACATCTAAAGCCCTGTCCTCGTAGTCAAGCGAGGGGCTTCTCCTCAAAACAGCAGCCTGGACCTTGCGGGGTCTTTTCACTACCTGTCCAATGCAACATGAAACAAACAAAAACTTCACATCCAAGTGGTTGTTTAAGAGGTGAAAAGTTATTCGCACCTCAAATGGAAGGGCAGGGAAGAGACCCAAATCCAAGTCACTTCACAGCAGCACTTCTTACAAAGGAAACTAATAGGTTTACAGAACAACCAGCAAAGGGGATTATTAGGGATTGCAGAAGAAACTTTAAATCATTGGGAGGATAAAGAAGAGCAGGATGTTACCAATCACATCAGCAACAGCATACTACTACAACAGTTTGCTGCAACAGTTGCAGTAACGAATACAGGTTTTCTTGGTTTAAGGAGAGTTTTAGAGAGTACATCATCTCCTCTTCCCAGTCCTTCGTCCCCTCCCAAAGTTCTGCATGCCTCTTAATTGAGGAAAGCCAATCTGGGCAACAAGTTCTTGTGCCAGTTCTGGTCCTGTAAGTTATCATCGGTTTCATGGAACCTTTCTTTTTTTGTCCAACTGTACTTCACTGTTTGTTAATTTAAAGGTTGGTGACAAATGGTTTATTTTCATTTTTTCTAGAGGATAATTTTCTCTGTAAAAGAAAAAAAAAAACCCAAAACACAGGTCTTCATTCTAGTTTATTTAGTTTGTATGTTCTGTTGGGAAAAGGCTTGCATTGCCTTATGCATTAACAGTACACTTCACAGAAGAAAACCACAGACTCGATTGGTTATGGATATACTTCCTCACACAACAAATGCATTTGTAATTTACTTACAATGGTGGCCACTTTTCCACTTTTTCTAAGCTGTTGGACTGCAAAAGAATGTTGAACATTTTCCATTGGGGTCCCATTAACAATGACCACCCGATCATTTTCTCTGCAAAAAGGGAAGGAAAAAAAAAAAGATTTTAGGAGAGTCTTCCTGAAAATATTACTTTTTTTTCACTTCACAAGAAAGCACTGAAATGGCACGCTTTTCTGAAAGTGGTATTCAGGCCACACCTGCTCTAGAAGGCTGTTTATTGAAAAATGCTGCAGTTCACCAGGTCTTGCCTGTCTTGCCTTCCCTAAAGCACAGGACAAGGCAGCCTGAAAGCTCATCATTTCAGATCTCCTGCTTGTTAAACGGACCAATGAAACTTAACACCGTCATCCCAGGAGACGGCCCCATAGCACATGTGTAAGTAAAAATCGTTACTACCAGTAAGACATCTCAGCTCAAAAATGGCACGGGAGTTAAAAAATAAACAAACAAAAAGTGCTAGTTTTGTTACTGGTTTATTCCAGTGATTACTCAGTTATTAACCTTACAGTGAAAGCATTAGTTTGAATTTAAATTTGCCTGGTTTCAGCAACCAATTACCCATTGCCGTGCCTTTTTTTTCTGCTAGATAAAAGAACTGTTTAGCACCCATTATTTTCTCTTCACTGTAATCAAGTCACCTCACAATCTTCTTATTTGAAAAGAAGATTACATGCCTTAAGCCTCTCTTTCTAAGGCATTTTCTCCTGAATAATTTTTGTGCCTCTTCCTACCCTTCCGGATCCTTTTACTGAATGACTTTGCCACAGGACAGCACACTATTCACCACTATCGGTTTCATCTGGGCTTTATATAGAGATAAAATGACTTTCCTCCCAGTTCATACATCCAAAAATGGCACTAGACTTAACACTACAGCACTACACTAAGAGCTCATATTGACTTGCGGTCTATCCTAAAAAGCTAAAAAGCTGTTCAAGGACTGAAGGATTGTGAAAAATATTCATATTCATAAATTATTTCCAAATCACAGATGATTATTGCACAGTATTGATCAAAGATGTGTTATTTAGATGAAGATTTTATGTCTGTGTTTGAGAATTGTCTGTTATCTGCAGTTCCAAATACCCCTTTTAACTGGTACTTCATTAGCTATTCCCCATGTCAGCTTCTTAATTACCTCACCAAAAATTAACATCTGGCAAATGGTCAGAACATTTTTTTGATTGTTTTTTTTACTGCATAGCTTTAGGATTCTTCCAAATCATTTTTGACATTCCAGATCAAAGGATAAAAACCTCACCAGCTGTTGGCTAAAAATTAACCATTTATTCCAGTCAACAGACTTACAAATACTCGTCTATTGCAGATGTAGCCTAATTAAGAAAGGTGGTATCAGAAGAACCACAGAAGCACTTAATTTCCAACCTTGTTTCTTTCAAATACAAAATAAATACTTAGCAAACACTTTTGCTTCTCTTCCCTCCCCCAGCTCCTGACACCTTAGGAGCGAAAATCAATAGTTCTTTGGACTATAGGCCTGACTTAAGCAAATCTCTTGAAAACTAAAGACTGACCACCTGTTTCCTGTAGCTGGAACAGGAAGAATGCTTAGAGATGCCAATATTTCTACTGTTGCTTTGGAAGAAATATAACCTTAAAAGAGACATACTTGGCTGTGGCATCTTTTTGACACCGCTGAAATTAAAGTCCTTATAAAATAGCAAATAAAAAATATCTCCATGTACGTGTTCATTTGGAACAGATATTTAGGTTTTAAAAGAAGCAGAAAATTTTGAGTGGAGTAAATCAGTGGGGTCTCTATCAAGCCTATTTGAAGATTTTCTGCATTCTACAACTCTGGCCCCCAAAATATGGGCCCCCCACAAGAGAAAGAAGAAATTGCTTACTGAAGTAACCCGTCTGCTGGGCCACCTGGCAGTACATCTGAAATGACAATAGATGTTTCACCATTTTCAAAATGTGGGTTATCTCTGCCACCAGAAACCGCAATCCCAAATCCTCGTTTTGAATCCTAAGATAAGAAAAAAACAATACAACAAGATTCAGTTCCATCCATAGGCGTTCTGATAGGGAGAAAGAATAACACAAATGTTCCTGTGATGGCACGCTATTTGGTTATAATTATTTTAAAAAAGACAGTTGTGGGCAGAGACACCATACCTATAGATTTAAAAGGAAAGGAGTTATATAAACCACAGAACCAGAAGATATATGTTGCTGTCTGGAAACCTCAAGCAGTTAATAACTAATAATTACAGAAAGGACTCACTAGTTCAGTCTACATCGTGCTCCCCCATCCTTTTGGTCATTCACACCAAATTAATTTTTGGATATTTGGTGAGTTTATTATTAGAGAATTAGAATTGTTGCTCTACCTAGTGAGTGGCACTTGGGACACTGGAGCAGTTTTTCCAGAATCTCAGGTTCATTATAATTGCTATCTACTTTATAATTACTACTTACTCCTCAAATATACAAAAATTGCAGCTAATTACCAAAAGCAAGCAATGACCTTGTGAAAGGTCATCCTCACTCACAAGTATTTTCACTAAGTAACCCATGTTAAACCTGTCTTCACAGAAATGTCAGATACCCAAAATCCTTATGTTCGGCATTCAGAAAATCAGAGAACAGAGTAATTGGGTGGGAGGGAAACATGTTTCTAACATGTCTCAGGCTACAGCTGAAATGCTAGTACAACTGAACTGCAGACAAGGTAGTGTGCACACATATAGCTAAAAAGCCAGGTTTTAACACTATCATTGATTTCATACAGCTAGTTCCACCTCCTGTAGATGAAACCTCAAAACTACATTTAAGGAAAATGCTTTTAACATAGTGACAGAGAAACTAATCCTGCAGTGCTACCTGCAGCCTTACGGATGTGCTTCTTCCCTAACTCCCACTCAGCGCACGTGTTCGTAACCTGCTCGCCTACATTCCACTAACGTCAACACTCTGCAGTAACTTCTCTGGGTAAGGAAAAGCAGCACAGTTATTTAAAATGGAGTTTAACTTGATAAGCCTTAGTTTCACAGGAAGCAGGTTGATCCTTCAAACCAAAACAATATCATAGAATCACAGAATGCTTAGGGTTGGAAGGGACCTCTAGAGATCATCTAGTCCAACCCCCCTGCACACGCAGGGTCACCTAGAGCACATGGCACAGGACTGTGTCCAAGCGGGTTTTGAAGATCTCCAGAGAAGGAGACTCCACAACCTCTCTGGGCAGCCTGTTCCAGTGCTCTGTCACCCTCACTGTTAAGAAATTTTTCCTTAAGTTCCTGTGGACCTTTTGGTGCTTCAGTTTCTGGCCATTTCGTCTGGTTCTGTCCGTGGCTAACACTGAAAAGAGGCCAGCACCATCCTCCTCACTGCCCAGTATGGAATTCTTTTTAAAAAAAAGCAGTAATAATTTTTGCTTGGCATGGCCAACTCCCCTTTACCACATTAGTGGTGCAAGTCTGTCACTGAGGTAAGCAGTAATGCTCACGTACAAGATATTCAAGATTAGGAAAGTTAGGAAATAACAAAAACTGATGACTGCTTCTGCAATCTTTCTACTGCTTGTCTCTAACCTAAAAAAACCTTTCTCAACAACTCAGCACATAAAAAGAGTTGTGTAGGAAAACTGGCTGTTTCACATTTTGCCACCAACTTGAGGCTTTTGCAGACCACAAAAAAAAAAAAAAAAAAAAAAAAAAACAACCCAGCTCAAGACAACCTGTGGGCTGATCCCACACATTGAGGTTGTGGAAGAGGCCCCCACCACAGCCACAGCACGTACCCGGTACCATCAGGCAGCCCCTTAGCTGATACGCAGCTCAAAAGGAACAGATCTACTGCAGCTTTTCTTAGATTAAGCGCTAAAAGTGGCAATGGGTTAACATGTCCTTTAAAAACCATGACAACAGTAATTTCCTAGTAGATTCCATACTGGCAGATGAGAAAGTATATATGCAAAAAAAATCAGTAGAAACATGTTCAGTGATGATTATAAAGCTCTGATATTAATCAAAACCTCATAACAAAGCCATCTGCCTTCTGCCTTGTCATTAAGGTTATTCAATGCTGAATTTAGTTACACAGCTAGTACATACTGTATTAGGCTGTCATTACAAAGCCCAAACAGTAGCAAATACAGCATATCAATGATTAATTTAATTTATGTTAACACTGAAGAGCCAAACAGCTGTATGAGCAACTAGCAATTAAGTTTCAAAATGAAACATATATCTGATTTGGACAGTTTACTAATCATATTTTAGACTCAAAGTTGCTAATTACATCTTTTGCAAAACAGACTAAAACAGTGCTTGAATATTTTAAAACTAAAAATATAACAGGCACTCACCTTTTGTAAGGTCACAGTGTACTGTTCCCATATCAGCTCTTCCATGCCTGGGGCCTGTTACACACAAAAGCCAATTAGCAAGACTCAAAGCATACAACTATCTAATCTAAAATGTTAGATACTATACCAAAACACAGACATAAAAATAATGCATAAAATCTACTCATGTGGTAAAGTGAGAATAACATGTATGTATTTCAGTTAACGACGTTCCTTAAACAGGGTGAGAAAAATATTAACCATTTCTAGGGTAGTAGCACCCTTGGAATTTCAGTAATTCGAAGTCCAGCTCAGTCCCATTTTCCGGAAAAGCCTCCTTCAGCACCAGCATTCCACTGAGACTGCATTAGCATTATATAGCGCTGATTCAAAGGAAAGCCTCCCTATTCCAATACACAGTAGTTGGACCTGAGGTCTTCAAGACCAAAGAGCTTTTGCATCTTTTCCTTTATGTTCACATGAATTCAAAAAACCTTAAATCCACTCTGGATGATGTAACTTAGTATTTAGAATCCCTTGAACAAATTCAATTTTACAGAAAACAACAGGGCATATAACACATTTATACACATTTATTTTTCTCAGAAGTCACTTTCTTTTATTTACACAGAGTTTCACCTTTCTGGTTAGAAAACTAATCCTGAACTGACCAGTTTATCTTATTTAATATATTCTGAAATCTTTCCAATCTCACAGCTTAAAATATAATACACAATAATCACCCAGCTGTGGTCAATCATACACTACACAGCCACCTCTTTGAGCGCTTGGCCTACAAAAAGGGGAGAAAAGTGAACCATGATATCTGATACTGTACAAAAATTTCAATGTGGAAACACTCATTTACAGAAGGATTAAAAAAAAAAAAACAGATATTGTGTGGGTACACATAGGCCACACTCAAGCCACAGGTTTATTTGTTTTAACTGGTAAAACAGGTTTCTTTCTGGAAAGTTAAGAGTTCACACAATTTAAAAAAAAAAAAAAAAAGCAAACTCAGACAGGCTTTTTAAAGGGATAACCAGCAAGAACAGACAGAGAAGCCACACATAGCAGGATGTGCCTGTATTTTGAAGCATCCCTGTTTTTCCAAAGCAAGTATTTTCTGGCTGTTCATAACTGCCAGGCAAGCTGTTGTTGCTGTTTCTTACATGAAAAGTACTCTGTGACATATGCTTGCCCACTTGTGGACTCTGAGCATCCCAAAAGGAATTGCATTTACATTTTCCACTGCAGAGACACCATAACAAAAAAAGAAATAAAACCAAAATTGTGAGTCCTGCTTAGCATTCCTAAGTGAGTACCCAAGGTATTCAGCATACTGACCGAGAAACCTGTAGCACAGAAACTCATTAACACATTGATATTGTTCTCACAGAGAGCAGAAACTGTGCAGAAATATGCTTCCCAGGCCAGTTAAAAAATTAGTTTTAACATGGCTGGAGAAGAAGTAGTTATTTAAAGAAATAATTATTAAAATTAACACAAACAAGTAGTTTTAGACGTCTTACTTGTTTAGAGGAGATGCGAACAGGTGACGTTTATAATTGTTATTATTAAAACACATGTATCTTGGGCCAGTGAACTACTCCGTTCTAACTCTGCTAGTCCCAAGGTACCGGTGAGATATGTAACCGTTCATCTGAGTGTGATCCATCTCACCACGCCTGTTTCATCACAGGGAACCATGACAAGTAAAAAGCTTTCTCCTTCACTATGCATTTTGTTTTGAGCCACACCACAGTGGTAGATACAAGTGACTAAGCTTGCTTGTCCATCATGTACGAAATGGGTGAATAGTTTACCTACTACTGACCCCTGGCTATACCATCACTGCCCTGCTTTCCTTCATGGTATTTTAAAGCTCTGCAGAACACCAGTCTGTGCAGGAGAAGTGCCTCAGTGTCATTCAGATTCCAGCTGACTTCACTGAGCAGGGTTTCAGGAAAGCGAGACGGTACCAAACGACGGGCAGAGCTAAAGGACAAGCGGCTGGTCTCACATTCTGCAGAATTCAGTACAGTGCCACAAAAAAAAAGAGTGAGGGAGGCACAGTAAAGACACTGACTGTGGATTTATGATGTAAAACAACTAAGCCAGCAGGACTTTCCTTCCAGAAAGACAGGTAGGCCACGAAGAATGGCAAGGGAAACCTGCGCACAATGAGGCACTCTCACATCGTAAAGCACAGCACCTTAAACTAACCAAGCAGAGCTTATTTTGCTCCGAGGAATAAGTTGTGCATGTACATGTGCTTGTGATCTATCTGATCACAAAAATAGGATGCTGAAAGAAAATACTGCCTAAAGATACTGCAACTGAGTCATGCGAGATGCTGAACCTATAGCATCATCTCAGCTTCGCCCTGCTCCTCACAGCACCAGTGACTGTCTCAGGTACCTCTGGTGCAAATCTGAGGAGTTTATTTTTAGCTTGTTATTAGTGAACATTCAATAAGAGCTAATAAAATACTTCCACTCTAAACTCATAATTACTTGTTAAAGTAATGCATTTTTAGAAACTGCTTCTTAGGGAAACTGCCTCCCAGTGAATGTATGCTATATTAGCAAATGAAAGCACATTGTGTGCTTGCAAAGCTTATTTTCTACAACCAGGGCAAAAGAGACCATTTCTTGCCATTCTGATAAAATTATGCAGGCTACGTAACACAGTTCAGAGAGCTAAATGGTCACCTTGGTAGCCCATAAGGCACAAAACACATCTGTACTCCCTTAAATCTCCAAGTAATCTCTTTAACATTATAAAATGCACTGCTGCCTGCCACTGCTGAGATACTAACCCATACTGACAGATTAATGGGGAAGAGAAGATTGAGGAGGAGGGAGAGACTACAAACATTATAAACCACTGCTTGAGAGCTTGAGCAAAACTAAAATTAAAGCCTCTACCACAGCTAATAAAATCCTGCTATAACAGTACTCCAGAGCTTATGCTATGACTTTCCTCCCCATGCATCAAGTGATGGGTTACCAAAAGCCTCCCTCGCCCCTGCCAGTTTCTTCACACTCCACCCGCAGGGGAGCACAGAGGGACCCTGAGCATTCTGCACACCCCTCGCAGGACCACAACAGTTACTGGATCCAGAGGGACCCTGAGCATTCCGCACACCCCTCGCAGGACCACAACAGTTACTGGATCCAGAGGGACCCTGAGCATTCCGCACACCCCTCGCAGGACCACTTTTGTTAAGGGAGTCAGAGGGACCCTGAGCATTCTGCACACCCCTCGCAGGACCACAACAGTTACTGGATCCAGAGGGACCCTGAGCATTCCGCACACCCCTCGCAGGACCACAACAGTTACTGGATCCAGAGGGACCCTGAGCATTCCGCACACCCCTTGCAGGACCACAACAGTTACTGGATCCAGAGGGACCCTGAGCATTCCGCACACCCCTTGCAGGACCACAACAGTTAACAGAGCAAAACACCGGGAAGGGGGAGGCAGGCAACACGGTCAGGAAACCATAGCCACTACCAACAGCAAACATTTGCTTGTCTACCCATGCTTTATACAGACAGCAGGCTAGCTGCAGTAAATGCAAATTAACTGTAATCAGCCAGTCTAAATTCATTAATGACAAAAGTCAGTCCACCGATAATTAAGCGTTATAGTTGGAACATGCTTCGGTCTGACTAATGCTCATATATGAAAATGATAGGTGCTTTCTGTGTACCCAAAATAGACTTTTAATAGGATCTTTGGCAGAAAACTAGTCAGACCCCTGCAGCCATTTCTGTGCTACGAACAGGCAGCTGTTGCAACTCTCACTGACAGTCATCAAGGGATTTATGCAATTACTTGCTACCAAGAGATCTCTGTATCCAAGTTCATTCACACTAAAACACATAAAAACAAAACCAGACAACCTGCCACAGCACTATCTGACTACAACACTGAGACAGAGAGAGGAAGGAGATATATACACATATATATATATACACACACACACATATACAGTAGAATGTGGTGGGGGAACAGCATGACTTGGAGCAAGAGCAACAAAAAGCAACTCACATGTCCTTTTAAAATCCTCAACTTTTTTACTGCATGTGACCACATTCTCTGCAGAGCTTGAGCTGTCTTCATTGTTGCCAGATATAATCTGTTAGGGGATGCTGAACATCCCAGTCTTTTCATCTGTTTCTACCACTCAACATGGTTATGTAATTCTAATACAATAGTGGCCTACATACTCAAACAAATCCTGCTGTCAGTTTCACACAGGAACACAGGAAAACCACAGTCAAGAAATCTCTTAACAGCTATGCTAACTCTCACTTTAAGATACATCAGCAATAAACTGCAGAGTAGCCTTAAACAATAATTTTTTAAAAAAGTGTTGGAAACAGATTAATATGCAGCAGATTAGCCAACAGATTAATATGCAGTTATTCTTATTCCAAGCACATATTGGTTTCCCTGCCACCAGGAACCTATCTGAAACTCTTAAAGAACAAAAGGGTTAAGATGCAAACCGGAGACTATTTGAAAATTCATGTTCTAATGATAATATTTGACAGTAAGACCTATCACTCGACTTCATTATTGTATTTTATGCAACAACTTAGCAACTCCTATCAAATTTTAACAATTCAACTGCTGAATTCAGGAAATTCTTATGCAGAAATAACTGCACACATACAAGTAGTCCCTTTAACTGCATGTGAAAAATTATGTATAAACGCTTGCAAAACTGTGCCTTGGTTTCATACATAACAACATAATGGCTGCAGAGAACAGTATTCCTTAAGCCCTCAAATATTTAATATAAGACATTCATAACAGCAATAAGTTTATCACATAGCCAGACAAAGGCCTTAACAGGAAAACGTGTCGAGTTATCATTCCCATCTACACCCCATAAACACTGTGAACTTTAAGACCTAATCAAAATTTCCCCCCTAGACTTTACATAAGCAAACTTCAGCGACAGCTTAAAATGTCAAACAGGTCAAACACATGCCAGGCTCAGCACGTGATGCTAAGCAGAGAGACCACCTGTAGATTTTAATTTTCTTTTTCTAAAAATT